CCCTATTTTAAAATAGGGTAAAATTACCATCTTGGCTGAGCTCAAAAGCCTTTGGAGGTTGGGATGCCTAGAACATGGATGGGAAACTACCAGAAAAAGGCTGTTGGCTAGACCAGGATGAAAGAATGGGAAGGGAAGGGAAGGGGAGGGAAGGGAAGGGGCATTGCCAGACCAAGAAAACTACATGGATGTGTCCGTGAAGTTGCTGAGCTCAACTCAGTTATTTAAGTCACTCTAAATTGCACAGCATTGTATAAATGTATATTACGTATATAAAATTCAATAGTCCTCAAATAATAAACATTAATGTAAAATTGTCCTCTTTTGTGCAAATAATTTTAAAAAATTAAAAGGACAGGAAAATAAATATGTAGCATGACAGTTCTGTCACCATACTATTGTCAATTTGTTTTCAGGCTTTAAAAAAATTCCAGAGCCCTTCCAAAAGTTAGAAAGGGAAAATTGTTAAATATATGGGAGTAATATATATGTATTTAATTGCATTTTAATATCATTAAATCAAAATTAGTTTTTGCCTGGGCCAGCATAGTTCTTTGTTCTGGCCCCATGTAATTTTAGAGCATGATCAAAAGCAGTCCTCAGCTCAAAAATATTTGAAGAACCCTGGCATACCCATTAACAAGTATAACACCAAAATATGTAATTCAAATGAGAATAGGAACAATTTAAAGTTGAATAAATGAAGTCCTGTCATATTCCTAGAATTATGGGGAAAATGTATCTGACACAAGTCTCCCACACTTACAGGTGCATCACTCTTTATATATTAGATATAGTCCACCTAAACAATTGCATTAAGTAAGTTAATGGCAGCTTCCTAGATAATATCATTTGCTTTCATCCATTCTGAGATCATATGAGTACCAGACCTTTAACTGACATCTAAAAATAACTTTAGTAAGATTCCTTAGGATGAAAGGGGGAAAAGAACAAAGAAAAAACAAAGGGGAATTTAATAGTAGCCATTGAATGCTAACCAATCAGCACATGTGCCCAATCCAATATCCACAGCACATGTAGTCAATAAGTAGATGGATCTCTAGATACACATGAGCAAATGCTGCAATGAACACACATCTGCACTGCCAAATAAGCAGGGAAAGAGTTTAATTTGACAAAGGCATAAGCAGAGCCCCACAGTGGCCAGCTGTTCAGCACCTCTATATTAATGATACTATAAGAATTTTTCATGCCCAGTTCTGAAAGCTGCAGAACTCTTGCATCTCCCTGCCAAACACCCTCCAGACACTTGGTTGGCAGCTGTGATAACAGCCTCTGTCAACAGAGGGGCCTGGAATTGTTTGGTAGTCCTGGTAGAAATCCCTGGCCAGTCTGCCGTTCTTTGGGACTGCTCACTTATGCTGAATACAAAAGTGGGAAAGGGGAGAGTCCGTCTTTCCTAACACTAGCATTGAATGCAGAGATTTCAGTAACTATAAAGCTAGTATCTCCTCTCTCTTGATGCAGCAGTCTAGGAAAACATTTCTGCCTCAAAGGCTTTTGACTTTTCCTGGGCTACTAATGTAAATTTATTGGGCTTCCATTGCTATAGAGCTGTAGTATTATTAATTATAATAGAGTATTTACGTTGAAACAGCATGTCCTTTTTATATATTTAGCATGCTGGTTTAATATATCTCTTGGGTATTTTCATTCCGGATGAAACATGGATTTATCTTCTCAGAGTATATAGTACTAGAGTCTGGCAGGGTACCTAATTTTCCACCCATCTCCTTACCTCTTTCTATTATTTCATAAAATGTTTATGTAAATTATTTACTCCAATTGTACTCAAGAACAAAATTATTGGGTTTTACCAAGTTACAGCATAATGCTATATATGTACTCAGAAGAAAACCTTAATAAATTTAGTGGAACTTGTTCCCAAGTAAATGAATACAATAATGAATACAGAATGCAGTCTCAGTAATTTAAAACAATAGTAATTTAAATCAGTAGATTTGTTTTCTGCATTTCTGTCTATTGCTAAGAGAAGATAAACTTATCTTTGTTTTTTCCCTTCTTTAAATTTTATCTTGAAATCCAGCGTATAAAAGCAGTTAAGTATCTCATACAGACGCAATTCTTCCTGTCCAGAAAAAAAAAAAGCCTATACTAATCATTCAGAAATTAAAGAGGATGGGGCAGAGGTTATTGCCTTTTTGACTTTTTAAAAAATATTTTTAGGGGGGTCATAGAGGATAAAATTTGCTTTAAATTGTGGAAGGAGGGCCTATTATTCTAACCAAAAAGAGTATTTTGAGCTGAGCTCAACTACTTATCCATGTAGTATCTGTACTTGTCAACAATATGAAAATGGTTTGCTGTTGTCTTCCAGGATTTTCTAACTTCCCAGTCTAGTTGACTCATCCTGTGTTTGTTTCAGCCCCTAAATAATGGGCTCAGTTTCCAGACACATTGGGACATATATGCCATGTTACATTTATCTACTTATTTTGGAGGGCAGGGGTTGTCCCTTCCAGGCTGAGCACACTAATCTGTTTCGTTGTTTTTGTAGTAATATAGTGCTTTTTCTAGCATAATGTACGAATATGACAGCTATGTCAGCACCCTACCACAGCCCAGGAATATGCAACATTTTATTTAAAATAAAGACACAAGACACTCATCTCTAGGACAGGGAATGCCTTTTATTCACAAACCCATAACCCTACAGGATGGTTTGGGCTTGTAACATTTCACGTTTTATAGCACAGATCAGTCATTGTAGGGATAACAATGGTATCTGAATATACACAAATTAACCGATCAGACCAAAACTTGAATGTTGTTAAATAGCTTAATATTCCCTGTATGAGCAGCACCATTGTGACATTTTACTTTAGTATTCCTCACCTTCCTCTTCACCCTCTCCTTCAACAGAATCCACACCCACTTCTTCATAATCCTTCTCCAGAGCAGCCATATCCTCCCGAGCCTCTGAGAATTCTCCTTCCTCCATCCCTTCCCCAACGTACCAGTGGACAAAGGCACGCTTGGCATACATCAGGTCAAACTTATGGTCCAGGCGGGCCCAGGCCTCAGCAATGGCTGTGGTGTTGCTCAGCATGCAGACGGCACGCTGCACCTTGGCCAGGTCGCCTCCGGGGACTACGGTGGGGGGTTGGTAGTTGATACCAACCTTGAAACCAGTGGGGCACCAGTCCACGAACTGGATGCTGCGTTTGGTCTTGATGGTGGCAATAGCAGCATTGACATCTTTGGGAACAACATCCCCACGGTACAACAGGCAGCAGGCCATGTATTTACCGTGACGAGGGTCACATTTCACCATCTGATTAGCTGGCTCAAAGCAAGCATTAGTGATCTCTGCTACAGAAAGCTGTTCATGGTAGGCTTTTTCAGCAGAGATGACTGGGGCATAGGTAGCCAGAGGGAAGTGGATTCGGGGATAGGGCACCAGGTTGGTCTGGAATTCCGTCAGATCTACATTCAGGGCACCATCAAATCGCAGAGAAGCAGTGATGGAGGACACGATCTGGCCTATCAACCTGTTCAAATTGGTGTAGGTGGGGCGCTCGATGTCAAGGTTCCGTCGGCAAATGTCATAGATGGCTTCATTGTCTACCATGAAGGCACAGTCGGAGTGCTCCAGGGTGGTGTGGGTGGTGAGGATGGAATTGTAGGGCTCAACGACAGCTGTGGACACTTGGGGAGCTGGGTAGATGGAGAACTCCAGCTTGGACTTCTTGCCATAGTCAACAGACAGGCGCTCCATCAGCAAGGAAGTAAAACCAGAGCCGGTTCCACCACCAAAGCTGTGGAAGACCAAAAAACCCTGGAGTCCTGTGCATTGGTCAGCCTGTTGGAACAAATAAATGTTAACATATATAATTCCATTAATAATCATCTACAGAATATAGGTAAAACTATCTCCTCTTGAGATTTTTAGAGTTATCTATCAATCAGTTTGTTATATCTTAATATTTTCCAATCATAAATGATACAAAAAGTCTAAAGAAGAGATCCATAATAATTATTATATAGGAAGTATATTGCAGCTGACCAAAGTAAATATATAATAGTTTGTGATGATACTGATCAAAATTTCATAACTCATTTTGCTTATTTTCTATTCTTTATGGATCATCCTTCAGGCAAAATAGTTACCAATTTGCGTATCCTGTCAAGGACCAAGTCAATGATCTCTTTGCCAATGGTGTAATGCCCCCTGGCATAGTTATTAGCAGCATCTTCTTTGCCAGTGATCAGTTGCTCAGGGTGGAAGAGCTGGCGGTAGGTTCCAGTGCGCACTTCATCTGTGGAGAGTCAAAACAAAATTACTTTCCTATCAGAAGACATGATCCAACCTAGGAGTTATTTCTCTCAGATTTTCTCTTGTTAAATACATTATTCCTTTGGCATCATTGGCTGTAACTGATTCTTTTGGTATTTATGTTCAAATGCATGCTTAATTAGGGTATATGCCAATAAAGATTTTAATTGAATGGGATGCTCTGACCTCTATATAGGTCAATTAGGAAGTTTATTGTATTAGATGTTAGAAATATTTGTATCATAAGAGAAATCCTCACTATGTAACACTTATCTTTTCCTATTTTATGGAAAATGTTTTGGAATCATTGTCTGCTGGGCAGTTTCAGGTTTATACTCACCAATCACAGTTGGCTCCAAATCCACAAACACAGCCCTGGGGACATGCTTGCCAGCTCCGGTCTCACTGAAGAAGGTGTTGAAAGAGTCATCTCCTCCCCCAATGGTCTTGTCACTGGGCATCTGCCCGTCTGGCTGGATACCATGTTCAAGGCAGTAGAGCTCCCAGCAGGCATTGCCAATCTGGACACCAGCCTGGCCAACGTGGATGGAGATACACTCACGCTAAAAGTGAAAATATTGTATAGACACATTTTATTAAACAGGTTTAAATGTTGGTATGTTATTTCTGCAGCCCTGTTTAACAGAACAGAAAGTTACATTTGTAAAGAGTTATGCAGTCTTTCATTGGTGGTGGTGGGCTGGTAGGATATTTAAATAGGGATTTAAGCACCCATACTGTGTGGGGATGCTCACCAAATGAAAAACATTCAAATGTCAAGCAAAATTAAAAGCAACCATTACCACAGCTGTTACTTTCTGCTTAAAAACACACTAGTTTCAAATGGGAACTAGGCAGCAAAAAAAAAAGTGGGAAAACCTATCAAATCCCTCAATTTAATAATAAAATAAACCAATGTAATTTGTCTGGTACTAGCATACCCTTGAGAAAGTGCTAAAATGTCACACCCAGCCTAATGTTCATTGAATACTAGGAATGTTCAGGAAACCCACTGTGCACAATTCCTTGTGTTGGTGCCCAGGGAGAATTGGAGATAAAGTATGAGTCATGAATGCCCAATCTTTCAAGAAATAGCAAAGGCCAGATAGTCTGAAAACTGAAATCCTATGTAATTTTAGGTTTGTATTTAATCCCTTTCTTCTTCACTTTCTCATTTGAATGTGCTCAGCCCTGGTTATTCTCTCATTTTACATGCCTATTGTTCTAAGGGTCATTCTCTCTTCCACCACAGAGAATGCCAAGGAATGCCACGCCCTGGCCAAGAACACTGGGTATATGCTCTTCAACAGGAGCATAAAGCTAGCCATGATTTTTCTGGCAACGCCCACACTGACAGTCAGTGTGTACGCGCTGCCGTGGATTACCACAGCTGGAGTCATTTCTGCATGATCTCATTAAACTGTTTTGCCAATTTTCCTTCCTCTGATCCCAGCTCAGCTGAGAACATGCTTGGGAATGAACTAAATCAATGGAGTGGCTGGATCAGAAGATGAAGCTCATGAATCAAACTCTAAAGAAGTATGTATATGGTGCATAGTATGGGCAAGACTGTGCATCAACCAGTCCCCCCCCGCCAAATACCCAACATAGAGTTTTACACAATGAGAAATCTTGCTTCCTAATATATATAAACACACACACACATATATATTATATATATAATATGTATTATATTTTTATAATATAATGTTGCAAGGACAATTAAAAATATGCTGGTAGAGAGCATTCATAAAAAGAAAGTTCAGTCATTGGAGAGCACTTGTTGAAAACAGAAACCCCTACAGCCACCCTGAAGCACTGTCTCCCAATAATTATTCTGGTCACATCTGCCAGAGGAGACACCCTTTGTCTGCTCCTCAGCCAACACCTTCTGCCTCCCATTCACTGACAGACCAATCTGCTGCAGGGCATGTCTGCTCTAAGGGGAGGGATCTACTTTTTCCACCCTATGTGATACTCAACAGTCGTTTTCTCCCGACTGCCACAGATTCCTGTAACAATGCTCCGTTTTAGGCAGGGTCTCTTAGAGCAATGAAAGGGCGTGGCTTCTTCAGCCAAGACGATCTCCTCTCTTCTCAGAAGAAAGAGCAGCACTGAAATCTCCTGAAGTGGCTATAACTTCCTCGTGTGCAATCCCTTTGAATTCAATCACATTTAATTCCCGATAAAGGCGGGCAGAACTGCAGCCCGCGACACCCGCCCTCCCATGCAGACATAAGGCTTTTTCAGGGTGAGCTCCAACCTCCACCTCTAAAAGTTCCCATCACCCAATTTGGTAACGTCCTTTCTTCTGACTGATGAATGAAGCAATACTGTAATCAGTGACAGCATTTTGAATTACGTCCCCTTTCAATTGTTTCAAGCCGATTTATGTTAAAGAATGCAAGAAAACATTCTGAAAAAAGATCAAGCCATCACATATGTTTTTAAGCAAGCCTTCTGTTTTAAAAGCACCGACAGACCTGTCTTGGAAGCCTCGAGCTGGAAGTAAGACCCACCCAGAGAGATTTCTTTTCCTAGCAGGAGAGCAGCCTTAAGTGCAAACGGCTCCCCACCCACCCCGTCAGCCCTCGCATCCGCTTTAAAGCGCAGCCTTTGGAAGGCTCTCCCTCCCGCCGCAGTGGCAAAGGCTTGGCGGTGGAGGCGAAATTAGCTGCAACGAGGCGGGCACTGAGCCATCCGCGTCTTTCACCAGCAATCTAGAAGCCATTGCGCCAGGCTGAGCAGGTGGGCTCCTGCCGCCGTTCAGGGGAGATCATCCTTCGGGGCTTGGGAAGGAAGAAAGGGAGAGCTTTTTTCCTGCATTTCTACAGTTCTCCAAAGGCTCCACGTTATGCGCGGCTTAGCTGATCAGAAAACAAAGACCCGCCATAGAGGCGCAGGGGGAACGCCTGTTGCAGGCAGAGAAAGATCGAGCGGAGAAAAGGAGGAACGGGGGAGATCTGTCTAAAGGCGCAAGGGAGGGTCCACCGGGGTCATCAAGGCGCTTTGCGGCGATTTTCCCTCCTTCCTCTCTTTGGAGACCCGGCGCGATCGCATTTGGACTGGCGTGGGAGCTTACCATAGTTGCTGCTTTGTCGCCGAGCTTCGGGCACTCGAACCGGAGAGAGGCGGGTACTTTCTTACAGCGCGACTCTTAGGAGGTCGATGTAAGAGAACCTGTAGCACATAGTATAACGCGGCTGCCTATATACAATCCCGTCACCATGGGGACGGGCGAAGGCTTTTTGCGGTTGGTCGAGACCCCCCAATCTGCCAGGAGAAGGCACGGGAGGAGAACAGCGATTGGCTCCGGGCGCATAGGATGAGGTAATCTTCCCCCACCCCTCCTCTGCTCAGCATCCCTAGTCTTCCAGACAAAGAGACTGAACAGTTCCCCATTCATCACGTTGGGAGCGTGGGGTGGGGAGAGGAGCTAAGATCCCAGGAGAAGGAGAGGGAAAACGAACGCTACGCGACGTTAAAACCTTTTCTCCCTGAACAAATGCCAGACAATATGTCAATCTCCCCCCGCCCCGTACTGAACGAAGTAATGGCGTGACTCAGATTCACATTTCAGCAAAAATCAGGGCAAGAGGCAGCTGAGCCTAAAAAAGAGCGAGGAATTCTGGCCCGCTGGTGATTGAATTTGATGAGTGTGCAACTCTTAACAGAGGAATTGTAAAAATGTTGGCCGCAAGCAAGCAAAAAAAAAAAAAAAAAA